CCGCTTGTATTTTCGGGTTTTCTGTTATATGAAGATTAAAAGAATAATTAACTATGTTTACCATGTAAAAATTTCATTCAAGTTGATTATCCAGTCATTAACACACAGAATAAAATTGCTATATATAACGAAATTGTACAAATATCTTCAGACTTACTCAGGCTCCTGGCTTGAGTAGCATAATACATTTCATCGTGGTGTTAAAATTTGTAATAAGTTATTCTTTATCAAACCTTGAAACTAGATTAAAAGAATCATCAAGCATACCATAATATTATATGATTTTATTTGTGTAAAATTGTGTGTGTTGCCAGCCTGATAACGCTTCCACCTGAATTTGTATAAAACCGCGGTTAAGACAGCTACAAATGTCGACAAAAAGAAATCCCCCAATAAATACAATATTTCATTTATTAACTGACAAATATATAGATATTATTTTCATGCCTTTAATACGGAGTCAATTGGAAAAAAACAAACCCACCTTTCATACATGTAAGTACAACTTTTTGTGAACCTTTTTTAAATTAAATAATACTATGAAACAACGATAGAACTGATTTGAAAATTCTCAAATGCAGGCATATCTATCAATGGTTTTGGCAAAATTCTACATATTTTTACAGTGGTAGTTTGGTCACCTGCCTTTTATATCGTAAGTCCTTCGCCCCTCTCCATAGTAGTCAGGACATGTTGCTCAGGAGGTCTGGGCAGCTTAGAATTCATAATACGAAGTCTAGAACTATTATAATACAACAATCTGAAGAAGTCTTGCAGTTATACGATGTCTAGTTATACGATGAGCTAGGGCAGTCTAGAGCTATTATAAAACGATGGTCTGGACTGACCACATTACTAGTATAATACAATAATCTGGGGGCGATGGTTATTATAATACGATGGTCTCGGGCAGTACAATCAAACTTTTATAATAAGATGGTATGAGTCATTCTGGCGAACCCTAGACCATCGTGGTAAGAGTCGGGGTTAGTGGACAAAATTGGTTGATGCAAATTACTATTGCGTACAGATCGAAGATCTATGGGAAGGAGATTGGATCACCCACAAACTCCACATAGTTCGATGCGCGATACTTATCATCACTGTACATAATTTAGAACTACATATCCATATGTTCATGTCACCTGGTACTGTAATAAGTTTAACATAATCACTTTTTACACCCTAAGTCAAAATAAAATCGTCGGCTAATTTGATTAAATATGCAAGAATTGCAATAATTTAAAAATATTGTAGTCTTCTGAAGTTTGTAATGCAATTAACTTTATGGCAAGCCACCGCCTGGGTTTTAGCGATTGTCGACATAAGTGCCAAATAATCATTGACACTCGTGTGACAGACATGATACAAAGTTGAGCTAGTTTATTTGTGCGATTCCTTCCTTTGTTCTGCCCTTGTGATTCATAATGCATTTCCAGCACGAATATGACGACCAGCCATCTTGAATCAGATTCTGAAACTGATGTTCGAATGTTCTACTCGATGTATGTGTCAAGTTTGAACACGATCTGTTCCGTCGTGTTAGCAATATGACATTCGTTAAAATCAAAAAAGGCCATCAGTCAGCCATATTAAATCAAATATGGAGGAAAACGACATGCATCAAGGACCCATTACGTTCAATGGATATACGAAGTTTGAATGAAATATGCGCATGCACGACCGAGAACAGTTCCGAAATGGCAGAAATGCTTGATTTTGCTTGATGCTATAATTAGTCCGTTAGTCGACTATCTTGATATTAATCATGATATGATGTGTGATTTAAGTGTCAAGTTTGAATGTGATCAGTCAAAGCATGTCAGAGATAGGACCCTGGAACTGCATTTGTCACAACAAAATGGTGTTCAGTTGTTTGTTTTTTTAGTCCGATCTGCAAAAAAATACTTGCATCAAGGACCCATTAGGCTGCAACATGTCTCTGCATGACTAGGATCCTGTTCCGGAATGGCAGAAATACGTGATTTTGATGATATTTTAACACTAATGTTACCGCAATACGGCCATCTTGAATTGGACCATGAAACAAATGCATGCGCATATGTATAGTATGATATGCTATGTGATTTGTCTTTAATGGCAGCTGTTAGGCACGGAAAATTCAAATCCGTTCAAGCCAGATATGTTATTGAAATATTCAACAGAAAACAAGATAAATGAAGATAGTGGGAAACCTTTCTGAGTAACATCAGTGCCATGTTTCGTTTCCAATAAGACATGTAAGCAGAATGTCGTGTTTTCCCCGTTTTAGTGTATCTCATGCAGAATTTCACTCCAATAACAGTGCCTCGCACAACATAGTCCCTGATAACATTATTGTATTTATACGTTTCTACAACACCGTGCAAACTTGAGTGTCACAGAGGTCCTACAGCATAAAGCCCTAATACCCCGTAAGAAGGAGATTGCATCACACACCTGCCGTAAAAACGACATCAGGGCAGCATGTCCATACTATTGTCGAGATGAAATAATAAGATAACCAGGCTACTGTAGGGGTTGTTTCACATGAGAAAAACCACAGGAATAACTTACTTTATAAAGTAGCACTAATTGAATTCCCATCCAATGACATTTGTGCTAATTCGTGTTGCTTATAGCTTTGCAAAATCAACCGTAAAAGAGTGTGTAACTTTCGAGGTCAAATGTCGTTGAGTGTCGAAGGTCAACCCAACTTTTTGACTGGCGGGGTTCATTTAGATGTCGGCCACAGAGACAGAAATAATATTTATATTTACAGTTCTGTGATTAAATGTTTATCATGTA